AAATCTGTTTCAAGTAACCTACAAAAGCAGCTTCCACGGAATGGGTAGCCGAGAAGTGTCAACCACCCGCATGTTTCCAGTGGTATAAAAACCCGCTGAAACCTGACCTACCCTCCCTACTTGTTTTCCCCTTCTCTTTCACCTCTGGATAAAATATATTAAGCCTCTTACAATCCTCTCAACTTTTCACCCTGCTACCACTGCTAACGATTCGCGCCTTCGTAACACCATTCTTCGTCTTCTGAGAACCTATTATCGGTTTCATATTGGATCCCACAACGTCTGAACTCTATGCCAAAGCGATCAGTAGGCGTCGTTCGCCGGGACTCTGGAATCTAGAACCATGGATGTATGTTGTGTTCCTAAGACACGTATGCAAGACCCTAGTTTGGTTATTAACCTAACATCATCTGGCCAATGCGGTGAGCCTGAAAGATTCAGATCACAAATATCTGGAGGTTCAATGGCTAGCTTCCGTTGAATCCCTCGTGTAGCTAAGCCACCGAGTTGTAGGAGCAGAAACCACACCCCACCAAATAACAGTCGACACTCATCTGTGAGCTGTTTGACTGAATGGATCTGTGAGAACTAAGAAGGGTCGTGAGACTTGCCAATGCCAGTTCGAAACGCCCGCCTACGCTCGGCCGACTCCAGTTCGGATGATGTGAAGGATGAATTCTATGAGAAGCTGTCAATTTTACTACATAAAGTAGGACGTTCAGATTTAATCATAACAACAGGCGACTTTAAAGCTCAAGTAGGAAAGCCGAACCAACAGGAAAGACATCTTAGAAGTATCCACGAAATCATACGCCAATGAACAGACAACAGTGATCACCTGTTGCAGTTTTGTTCGGACAATCACCTGTTTTTAGGCAACACTAGCTTCAAACAAAGAAACATCCTAACATGGCGTGCACGAACATACACTCAACGATGGATGCAGGCAGATCATAACACTGTATGTCATCGGTAAGTGACTATAGGTCTTTCTAGAGTAACTGTTTGGACTCTGACTACGCTTTAGTAGGAGCACGCATATGTCTTTGTCTTACTAGCTATTGGATACACGTGGTAGTTAGGCCTACGTGTGATCGATCGGAAGATGATAACATCAACACGCATTTAGGGAGGGGGTAGCCAAGCATCTTGCTAAACGTCACAGGAATCCTCATCATGAGGAATCTGGTGTAGTATCAGGTTACGAAATCGAAATCCACTCAGCTACCTTGTGCACATTCGTACAGTAGGCAATGAGCCACATCTGTTGTAAGGGATAGGGATACTACCTGGCTGCCCAAACATAGATATTTGGAACGGTGACACGCGGGTTCGAGGTTATCTCCCCAAACCAATCGGCCACAATTCCACGACATTAAGTCTGCTGTAGAAAAAGCGTTAGAGACAGTTGGTGACCTAAAACCCAAGGTCATCAAACGTCAATGGATTTCCGCAGCATTATCCGAATTGATCGATGCGAGAAGTATCATACCACACGGTTCCGACCACAATGAAGAACGCAAGCGACTGAAACGCAAATTGACTAAGAGTTTTCGCAATGATTGCGGCAAGTGGAGGCTGACGAAAGCTAGAGGGATGGAGAAGGTATCGATATTGGGCAATATCCACAAGACAACGACTATGCTGAGTGAGACCATCACCGACAAAGATGTTACACTGATAACCCCACACAGAAGACGACCAGATCGTAGGACAGAACTCGTTGAAGCACGGCTTAACTGGACCATAGCACCGCTTTAGTTATCCAGCATCTACACTAACCATGTCGGTCCTCCAACTCCTCTAGAGCTTGAGAAGTCTGTCTCAAACCTCAAACGATGTAAAGTAGCAGGAATTGACGACTTACCACTGAACATTTCTAGGGATGGGGGCAGGAGACTACTGAGAAGAATGACGGAGATATTAAGTCAGATCGAAATCCACTCAACAACCTAGTGCACATTTGTATAGTAGGCAAGGATTATGATACTGCTCGATTGCCCAAACCTCGGTAGATACAGCGGTGTTCGAATCCGTGACCCATTGGTTGAAAGTCATCTCTCTAAACCAATGGGCCACAACTCAGCCAATAAGTAGTGCATGAGAATCAGAGGTAGTCCCATCTAACTGGTCTACTTTACTGATCACTCTAGTGTATAAGAAAAAATGAAGTCTTCTTGCGACAACTATTGAGGAATCAGTTTTACTAACATCGTGTCCAAGATCCTCGGGCCCATAGTTATCCGACACCCGATTGGAGCTCGAAGACAGAAGACCCAAGGAAGCCAGGAAGGCTACAATCCCAGACGAGAGTGCATCGATCAAATTTTCATCCTTCGACAGGTTCCGTACACGGATATACTTACCGGCGGTCGATACCGGACGTATCTCGACCTGAAGGTGGCATTTGACTCTGTCGACCACGAGGTGTTGTGGCAGTGTCTGACTGTGAAAGGAGTACCGAGCAAGCATGCAATGCTAATCAAAAATCTCTACCCAAACTCACAGTCATGTAAGGGCTTATGTTGAGTTGTAATCCGAATTGATGATAACTAGTGATGTTCATCAAGCATGCCCATTGTCACCGTTCCTGTTCAACTACGCTATCGATGTAGTGGCGGACATAACATTAGGTACTTTTGACTTCCCGGAGAGGGTGTTTGACTGACTTGGAATATGCAGACGATATTGTTCTGCTGGGTGAGGACGCTGACGGAATTTAGGATCATCTGGACGCCTCAGGCAGGAATGAAGGGATGATATAAAACTTTTTTTGTAAGAGAAAATATTACCGGAGATTTTCCACCACTAGCTGTTATAACCATGTCTGTAAAAATGATATGCACCTGTAAATTCAGGAACAAAATATTATTACTATTATTATTATTTGGGAGTGTTTGGTAGGGATTTTCCACTTGTCTACCCCCACATTAGGGAGGAAGAGCCAAGTGATGGGATGTCCTGACCGATTCGCTTGCTTTAAGAGTAGCCCCAGCCCGAACGGGCTTGTCGCCGACGAAACATCAGCTTGGATTCAGAAGGTCGTTTAGCGTTTGCCAACCCGAATCATCTCTGGCGCCTACCGGCGAGATATCTAACAATTTATTCAAAGACGAGTATACCGTGCTGCAGTCTGTTTCGTCCCGTTGTACAACCGTTAAAAACAGTAGATATGGAGAGACTACAGGTTTCTGACCTTAGTTGTCTTCCTAGCATGGCTCATGTAAGGTAGAATCACCTTGTGAGTGATATCGATGTTAGGCGAGGGGTACTAGGCAAGGAAACAAAGTCGGTCGATGAGGTTATGCTCTTTCAGCGACTTAGGCGGCTTGGACACGTGTTGCGCATGCCAGCCACCAGCCACCTCGGTGTGCAGTGCTAGAAGAAGTTGAATTAGGTTGGAAGAGGACTCAAGGTGGCCAGACCAAGATGTGGAACCAGTCGATGAAATCTCTAACTATTAGTCTCAGCTATTTGGGGTTCTCCAGACGGTAGAAATAAGTGATTGGAGACCCTCGGTGATATGGTTGAAAATCGGTCACAATGGTGCAGATGTATTCACTCATTGACGTCTCGTAGAACTTGCACATTTTCAATAACCTCCATTTTCAAATTCCTTCTGCCGTGGGCCTGTCTACTTCGGTATCAGTCATTTTTTATCCAATTGTTATTTGCGTGTTGCTGTGAAATATGGCAACTTGAACCGATGAACTTGTGCACGAGGTTGCACGTTGGTTTAGTCTGTCTATCTATATGAACATTTATTTTGACAGTATAGATATCGCAATTCATAACTGTATTCTGAGAAAAGTGGGTGGAAAGCGATATTTATGTAGATGAAAATTTATAAGAGGAAACAATACTTGATTACTGAAAATATTTAATTCTTCGAAGATGAGAAAGATTACACACTTGTATCATCGTGACCGATTTTAATTCAGACCATTATAAGTTTCCAACCAATGATTCCTATTGCTTCGGGAGCCCCATACAGACAGTCTACATATCTTTATACGTCTCAGTCAAAGCCTTCAAGCGCTGATGTCATGTATTTTTTAACTACCCCCAGCCCCCCCGAAGTAATCCTAATTGGGCTTAGTGTACGTCAATGTAGGTTGTGGATCGATCTGTACAACATACGTTCAGGTCACCTCAAAGCGGTCTACAAAATTTTCGACCAACTTACATGTATCCTGAGCTTATTCATATTTATTCCAGTAGTTGCAACACACACGAGTAATGCTACTACAACACCAGTGGCCGAAAACATCACTTTATAACTTATACTGTCAACATCTATGACTGGAGGTGTGGCGTAATGCCTAGTTCACGAACGTTCAGTAAGTCACTCAACGAATTCCAATTTTTTAACTGTCGTCTCAGCCGTGCGTTGCGAAAGAGTCAACTGTTGCACGGTATACTCATTCTTATGTCGGCAGTTAAATACATCAGCACTATACATGATATAAGTAGGTAAATAACGAATGGGCCTGTCGTATCAAGGCTGAGATCGCGTTAGTAAATGACCCATTTGGAGCGAGGTAGCTCCTCAAGTGAGTATGGTGGCAAAAGAATTTTACTACCATATTTCAAATCCTGTAAATGAAGTCTATTTCTGAAAACTCATCAGATGAGGTAGAGCAGGTAAGACTGTGGAATTTTACGAATCAGAGACAATAAGTGAAAGTATGTGAAAGATTTCACTTGTCCCGTAATCTCCGTTATCCCGTAGATTCTAACCATGAAGTCAACGCTTCCCAACACTGCACAGATCATCAGAAACTTCATCGACTAGTGCCACATCTTCATCTCATTGCTTCAAGCACTTTTTTAAACATATGAAGATTAAAAAGCAACATTTGTAAATGCGGCTCTGTACATTTTAAATGGACGTTCGTGCCCATAATGAGCTTCAGTGACCGATATTTTGACAGCTTTTTACGAGCAAACAAGTGTACCAATCTATGATCATTCCTATTTATTTACGTTTAAGTACTTACCTCACCATGTCTTGACGCCGTTAACACAAGCTTTTCATTTGTTCTTGGGACAAAGCTGATGTCTGAAATCCACACTGAAACTGGGAGTTCTAGAACTGTTGGGCGGACGTTTTTGGATGTGAAAACTGCTTCCTTTGGATTATTGATGTCCCATACACGCAAAGGGGATTCTTTACCTCCTATAGCAATCTGACCTGCTGCCAATTTCGCTGAGCACAGTGATCCCTGAACATGAATTTGTAACTACAAAAGGTAAGTATAGAATCAGAATTTACTATTTCAGAAGTGAAGTCACGAGTTATCAGTTTTATACTCCCCGAAGAATGAGCCGTAAAAATGTACCTGGCTTAATAGTAAGGGAAGCACACTAACTTGTCATGAGACTGCAAGCCAACAACAGAGCCCTCAGTGAACTTCGAAAATTGATCAACGCACGTAAACAAGTTGTTGGTTGTGTCTATGCTATACAGATTTCCTGAATGACACCCGGCCAGAATCAGTACGTATTAAATAAGAAACAATAATGAACAAACTTTATTCCCAATTTCGTCGCACCAGCACATTGCGTAAATATTCTCATTCCTAATTAGTGAGATTGGAGACAAAGTATGGTCACCAATCGAAAGTCCTAAGCCAACAGATCTTGATAAATCTAACTACCTTTTAAAAAGCCTGCAGACGAGCCGAAAAGTATATCAAAACCACTGGAACCTTGAATCATGTGAAAAATCCCAAGTGCTTCTCAAGGTTACTTCATGCAGCTCAGATGGCAAGGCGACTTGGTGAAATCACTTTCAATAGTTCCAATACCTAATAGTAGAGGAAACTTGATTTTTGAACTCCAGCTTATATGTCTTGCAACCCGTCCCTTTTTTCTCAGCGAAAATTACTCGATGATCACAAAAGTCTTTTCAGTTTTCCTGTATAGCTTTGAAGGTAGTAATTGTCTATTTGAAGCTTTCCTTCTGCAAATTTTAGACTGGCTTTTTGGAAGAGCAGTTAATCTACTTCAGTTTTCAGTAGTAGGAGTAACAGCCGCGTTTTACCGTTTCACTTTCTGCATTTGATATCCAATTTCTGCCTGAACGCATTGACCAGTGGATCCGATACTTGATAATGATGATGGTTATTAGTATATAAAGATTATTTGTCTCTTGGGATCCCAGTGGAACATACCGATTCTGTAGCACGTCTCCATTCCACTCTGTTCTCTGAAATTTTTCAACCTGGCTCCACGACAACCCACAAACTCTCATTTACTCCTCACACATCATCCCCTCCATGTCACCATCGACACCGACGCCCAACTCATCGCTTCCCATCTGGGTTCCACTCGAGTAACTGGCCTGACGCGTGATGTCCACAGTCCGCCCTCCCAGTGTATGCCCAATCCATCTCCACTTCCTTCCTCAGCATATTTGTTCAGCGATACGTTCTTGGTTGCTTCGTTCCCAGCCAGCCAGAGTTCCTTGTTGCTTGTTCTTATTATTCTTGCCATCTGAGCTACAACAACGAGTGAGCGTAAGCACTTGTTGATGAATGTCTATAGTTTGTTGGAAATCCCTTTCGTAACACGCCAAGTGTCTTAACCATCACACAGCAGCACTGACTTGACTGATGTTGGTGTTGAAAATCCACATGCTGAGTGTAGTGTAGTGTAGTGTAGTGTAGTGTAGTGTAGTCTAGTGTAGTGTAGTGCAGTGCAGTAGATCCGGTTAATGAACACCTGTCTTGTTGTCTTTCCAAGCCTGACTTTGACATCCTCGTCTGTGCCTGTCCCACCTGTAGTTGAAACAGTGCTGCCCAGATACGTGAACGAGGCTACTTCCTTCAGGTTGCTCCCGTTGATGGTGATTGCAGCTTGTTGTTTTGCTGTTCTTCTTGGTTGGGTATCTTCATCACCTCTGTCTTCTCCATATTCAATTGAAGTCGCATCTTCATTCGCTGCCATGCCATGCCCTGCCCTGCCCTGCCCTGCCTCTTCTGTCAACTAGTTACTTTTCGCCTGTAGATCTTCTACTTTGTGTGACATCAGACACAAGTCATCACTGGCCACATCCACATCTTCTAGGTTCTTCTCCGCGGTCCACACTGCGTATCCCCCTCTTCTCACAGCTCCCTACTGTTTGCTGCATCATACAGTCCAGTCAACTACAATCACGAATATCATGGGGGATAGTAGACAGCTTCGCCTTACTCCTGTCTTCACTTCAAAAGCATCACTGAGCTTCCCATTGTCAATTACTTGGCTGGCATGTGGCGTCTTCATATAGCTGCTGTTGCATCAGATTGATAATGGTTTGTGGTATTCCGTAGTGTTGAAGCAGCTACCTGCTAAATTACCTCTCGTTCGACGCCAAAGGTTCGATGCCAAAGGCCTTCTCAAAGTCGATGGAGTTGAGTTAAAGTTCCTGTTGACTGCCATTCTATACTCTGTTCTATGATGATGCGTAGTGTAGCGTTGCAATTTGGTCCGCATATGATTTGTACTTCGTGAATCGAGCCAGCCTGTTCCGGTCGTAATTTTCAATTGAAAGCATCCTGTAGCCTCCTCCAGGATGATGCGGCTTAATATTTTGCTTGCTTGGGGTTGGACAGGGATAGCAGCATGATTCCACGCGAGTTCTTGCATACACTGAGGTCTCCCTTCCTCGGCAGTTTGACAAGCTAACCTTTCTTCTAATCAACCGACAGGTACCTTTCCTTCCCTCCAAACCTTCTGCATTAGTGGTGTGGTGTGGTGTGGTGTAGTGTGAGCATGTCCGCTGCAGTTGTCTCTGCGTATGCTCTCAGTGCTTCTGGCGGGATTTCATCTGGTCCTGCTGCTTTCCCGCATTTCAGTAGTTTTATGGCGCTCACGACTTCCACTTTTGTTGGAGGATTTATGTTCATTTGTAGTTCTGTGGCTGGGCTGCAGGTGGTATTTCTAGACGAAGTGCAGTATGTGGTGGTGGTGGTGGTGGTGGTGGTGGTCGATTCAAGAGCTTTTTGAAGTGATCGGCCCATCGTTTCCTTTGTTTCTCATCTTTCGTAATTAAATTTCACTCATCATCTTTTATTGGTTTCATGTGTGTTGATCTCTTCCATCCCACATAGTAAGTAACCTGGTTATTTGATACAATGTTATCAGATCTCTGTCTCTCCTACATGCGGCAGCCTGTTCTGCTTCACTTCTCGGTGTGTCATAGAGGTGTCTTTCGCCGTTCTTCTACTCATCTTTGTCCAGTGTTATACACATTGTGTTCAGTTCCTGCTTTCGTTGTTCGTCCCTGCAGTGCACTCCACGCTACTTGTTCATCGTTTGCTCCACCACCTTCCTCTCCCTGCTCCAGCAGCCTCCATCTGTCCGTCGAGTTCCATTCCTCTTCCTCCCTCCTAACCCAGTTATGCAGTTTTCTTTCCACACCTCCTTCAAAGACTTTCAGTGTTCATCCACACAGGTTTCTTCAGGGATGGTCCTTGATACCTCCCATTCTGTCTTGATGGCTGGCTGCCGTGAAGATTTCCTTTGTAGTTTCGTCCTTCAGTTTCTGGGTGTTGAACTTGAACTGTGGCCCGTCACCAGGTTCGTTGAAGGCTTTCAACTTGATTTGGAATGTTCCTTGCACTAGATAGTGAGTGGTGTGAACCCACATCTGCTCCCCTCCTTGATCTTGTGTAAAGTAGTCTGCGTTCCCACTTTCTTGAGATTGAGATGAAGCTGACCTGATTTTTGGAGTTGTGTATCCATCTGGTAGAATCAAATCCATGTGGCTTTGTGGATACCCTTGTGCTTGAACACAGCGCCCCAGTCGCTTTTCTCAGTTAACCTGAAAAGGTCAGGGAAGAATAAATCGTCGCGCCATATAGTCTTCTGAAGTATGCAATTGTTTGCGTACTACTGGGAACAACTATCAGGTGAATGCCATTTCATGACACAGCTACACTGAAAATATATACGAGCGTAATTACTGAGTTCGTGCAGGATCCTGATAGTGACAAGTCACATTATCTCTAAGAGCACATTGCATTGACTTGATGTGTAAATTATTTTATACTAGATACTTTCAAAAGTTATGAATTTGACGATGCTTGTTAACCGGTATCCCTCATGTTAAGCCTGTTAAATGAGGGCGACATTTACTATTATCTAAACTTTAACACTCTACGTACGCTGTAAAGTAATATTTCCTCGTTCATTTCATAACTAGCAGGACCTTCCGCAGTTTTTTAATTGAGTTTAATGACATTCCATCAGTACCACTCAGGGCTCAAGTCCTGCAGATATTTTGAGATGTATCGACGTGATGAAGCCTGTAAGCTGGCTTCTCTCATGTTAAAATCTTCTTTAACAAGAGAATAAAACATTCACCGATTTATTTATGTCGAATTTATGGCATAAAATGGGCCAAAAATATGTGAGTATTCAATAAATTTGTGCTATCAACAGATGGTATGCGAAACTAGAGTTAAATACAGGGATGGATGAGGGGGAAATTTGGGACTACCATCGTATGGTGCCACGTGGTGTAGCTATTGTCTAGATGCATAATGTTGTAAGCGGAGTCGTTTGGATAAATTAAGCCAAAGACGCTATTCCACCCAGCTACTGTTGTCATATTGCGGCGGACAACACATAGGGTTCCATCAAAAAACTATTCGGAAAAACTTCTAGGTTGGGATTTCATATGGGTCTAGCTTCTCTTAGCATCTTTACTAGGTGAGTGGTTATCAGGACTCGAGGAACCTGCTTAGTTGGGTACAAACAGCATCTGTGACCAATATTTCCAGATGAAATTCCAATTGTTGTCCTGACTTTTGTGGAGCTTGTTTTCTGGAATTAGTTGTCTTCTAATTTCCTCTTTTGCATCTCTGGGTGGTAAGAATCCATTCTGGTTAAAAAGGAGGGAATGAGGAAAATACAAGGGAACTGAAGGGGAGGGGTAGACAATGATGGGGGCGCTGTTTATGGAAGGCCCAAAAAGAGAAGGAAAGGTGGAAAAGTAGATTTCCAGAAGACATTGGGAAAGAAAAGAGGGAGGCTGTAGTGCAGCTACTGTAACGGTCAGGGGGACTGCTTAACCGCACTGAATAAATTAAATCAATAATTCTGTTGCGCTTTCTTTATTTTAGACTTCGATCGCGTTAAGAAACCAGCAAGCATATGCATGTTTGAGTTTATTCGAAATACTTTTGTGGGTGCTTCCAGCGTGATTCGTCATTTCAACAGCTACCACGGAGGTGGAAGGCGCACATTTCTCGGA